TACAGCACATCGATGTGTGGTATCATTTACCTGTGCTACCACTTACAGAGGAGGCTTATATATCCTTGAGTCCTAGGGGACTGGAGATTGTTGAACACCATAAATCTATGGCCCAAGGCAGATGTCTCCTCATCTTCATCTCTTTTTCCAATTCGCTGATGTCCTTCCCATGTACTTGGAGGGATGGGCAGGGCTGGAACTGGCTATAAAAAATCAGTAATGGAGTTGGGTAGCTGGAAACATGCCTGTGTTGTGAGTGGATGACTGAGGCTCCATTTAGTTTGTTTTCCAGGAGCAGGGACATGGAGAGCTCCTACCTTTGGTCTTTCGAGCCCATCCTTGTTTCAGCTGTCTGCCTTCAGAGGCTGAATTTTTAGGATTGGAGACTGCCATGGAGCCCTGTGGAAGAGGGACCTGAGAGTGGGAAGGCTAACGACATATAAATTTGTTCTTTGACTTTTGTATATTTAACTTTAAAACATTCCAGACATTCAAGGAACTCTCTGTACTGTTTGAGGGTAAAAGGAAGAATTGGAGTTACCTTAATAAGTGGTTTCCATGTTAAAGTACCAAGACTTCCTTTTCTTTTTTTTTCAAGACTTCCATTTTTGACTGGCACAGATTAGTCTCTGAACCAGGGACAAACAATGGAGAAGGGACAGTATACCTTTCTACTCTGATTTAGGTCATCAGATTTTTTCCAGTTCAGATTACAAAAGTTACATCTGTCATTAATTGGATTTTCAATTCAGCCTTCAGGACTTTTGGTGAAAACAAATTAATCTCGGTCTTGGCCAGTATATTGTCTGTCACTCTTTGTTATGGGAACTGAATGTGTCTTCATTGAATATTTCGTAGGTTGGAAAAGATGGAGGTAGACATAAATAACTAAAATCTTTTTTAAAACAGAGGCAAAGTTTTAATTATATCAAGAAACTTCATTTAATATACAGAGAACTGATCTTTTACTTTATTTTTTGTTGTCGTTGCCATTTTAAAGAAATAAACTCACTTATTTTTGTTATATATTTTTACTGTAAAGTCTTTTCAGCAAACCTGGCGTTGATGATTCATGGCCTACATCAGAAGATGAAGACTTTGATTTTGATTCCAGGGTAAAGTACTCCTTCATAAAATTAAATTTCCTGCTTTGAATTTAGTTTTGTGTAGGACTTACTCTTAAAATTTAGTAGTGGTCTACCTATCATTATTTTATTTTTGTAATGAAAAATTGGTCAGAGCAAATCGTTTTATAGAAATATGATCAGTTGAGGTTTTATTTTTTTATTTTTCTTCACTAAGTACTGATGGTGGGGGCTAGAAAAAAGAATGGGCTCGAAAATATGTAGGAATAGGAAAATTATATTGAAAAAAGGCTTCTCACGATGAAGGAGATATCAAATTTGGTCAAGGGTAAAGATTATTAATGTGGCTTTTAAAGTATACCAACATGACTTTTATAATATTCATGCCTTAATGAAATCTTTAATGGAACCAATTACTTATTGCAATAATCATGAAACCTTCCTTCTTTCCTTCAGTTGCAAAACTATAGAGCACATAACACACACATTTTTTTTTTTACAGTTTTTATTTTTGTATGATATAGTTGTTAGAAGAGAGTGTTTTCTATCCTTGGTTTCCACATTGAAACAAAACTAACAGCAGAAATTGTGGAAATTTTGAAATTTAAGTTTTCTTTCTCAAAACCCATATTACACAGGGATTTCACCATGTTCTAAATTGTTGTGTTAGAATATATTTTATAGTCTTCATCCAATTGAAAAATACATGTTTTGCCTAAAATAATAACCATGTCTAGATGAAGAAATTCTTAATAACCATTTTTAAACTTTTTATTTTAATTACAGTTGGCATTCGATATTATGTCAGTTGTAGGTATACTGACATTACTTAGACATTTATAAAATGACATTGGTGTCTTTACGTAGTGATTAGACATTTATATAACTTATGAAGTGGTCCCCACTATAAGTCAAGTACTTCCTGACACCATACATAAGTATTACAATATTATTGACTGTTTTGTAACTGCCGATTTCTACTTCTTAATCCCTTTATCTTTTCAGCCCGCAAAGCCCCCTCCTACCTGGGAACCATCAGTTTGTTCTCTGTATCTCTGAGTCTGTTTCTCTTCTGTTCGTTTATTTTGTTTGTTTGTTTTTTAAATTCCACAAATAAGTGAAATCACATGGCATTTGTCTATCTCTCCTTGACTTATTTCACTAATACCCTATAGGTTCATCCACATTGTCAAATTGGTAAGATTTCATTTCTTATCTTTTGTTTATCTATGGACACTGAGATAGCTTCCATCATGGCTATTGTAAATAATGCTGCAAAAACCTTAGGGATGCATATATGTTTTCAAATTAATGTTTTTAATTTCTTTGGATGAATACCCAGAAGTGGGCTGGCTGGGTCGTAGAGCAGTTCTGTTTTTAAATTTATGAGGAACCTCCATACTGTTTTCCTCAAATTATGGCAGCACCAGTTTGCAATCCCACCAACAGTGTATGAGGGTTTGCTTTTCTTCACATCCTCGCCAGCACTTGTTTTTCATTGATTTAATGATGATAGCCATTCCAACACATGTGAGGTGATATCCCATTGGGTTTTAATGAACATTTCCCTGATGATTAGTGATGGTGAGCTTCTTTTTATGTCTCTTGGCCATCTGTATGTACTCTTTGGAGAAAAGTCTATTCAGGTTCTCTGTCCATTTTTTAATTAGATTATTGTCTTTTTCATGTTCAGTTGTATTGGTTCCTTATATAGTATGGATATTAACCCTCTATTGGATGTACCATTGGTGCTAATCTTTCCCCATTCATTATGTTGTCTTTTTGTTTTGTTGATTTTTTTTTTTTTTCTGTGCAGAAACATTTTAGTTTGATGTCACCTGTATGGGTTTTGTTCTCTTATCCATTCAGCCACCCTGTGTCTTTTGATTAGAGCATTTAATTCCTTTACATTTAAAGTAATTATTGATAGGGGTGTAGTTATTGCCATTGTATTATTGATATTTTTGATATTTTCTCTTTCTCCTTCTCCCTCTCCTTCTTCTCTTTCTTCTCCTTTTTCTTCTTCTTCCTCCTTCTTCATCCCTCCAACATTTCCAGTAATATTGTATTGGCGGTGATGGACTCCTTTAGCTATTTCTTGTGTGAGAAGCTCTTTATCTGTTCTTCAATTCTAAATGGTAGTTATGCTGAATAATCTTGGTCGTAGGTCCTTGCTTTTCATCATTTTGAATATTTTGTGCCAATCTCTTTTTTCCTGCAAGGAAATCAGCTGAAGAGATCAGCTGAAGGTCTTATGGGAGAGATCAGCTGAAGGTCTTATGGGAGCTCCCTTGTAGGTAACTGATGGCTTTTCTCTTGCTGCTTTTAAGATTCTCTTTGTCTTTTACCTTTGGTTTTTAATTATGAGGTGTCTTGGTGTGGATGTCTTTGGGTTTATGTTGTTGGGACACTCTGTGCTTTCTGGGCTGGTATATCTGTTTCCTCCACCAGATTAGGAAAGTTTTCTGTCGTTATTTCTTTGAATATATTTTTAACTTTTTGCTCTTTCTTTTCTCCTTCTGGTACTGTATAATGCTAATGTTATTATGCTTGATGTTGTCCCAGATGTCCCTTAAACTATCTTCATTTTTTTTGATTCTTTTAACTTTTTGCTGTTCTGATTTGATGTTTTCTGCTACCTTGTCTTACAAATCGCTAATTGAATCCTTCGCTTCAAGGTGGCAGTCCCACTTGTCACCTGAGCTCAGAGTTCCAGGAACACCCCTTGTGTGGGTTGTGTGTGCTTTCTTGTTGTAGTTGAGCTGTTGGCACATCAGTGTGGGATTGATCTTCAGCTTGACTTGCTGTGAGGACTGGCTGTGCCTACAGCAGTCAAGCTGTTATGTGTGGACTGACCTCACGGAGTGGGATTGGCTATAACAGGGCTCTGGTGCCTGCTAAGTCCATTCTCTGGATGTGTCATTTTTGGAGCTAATTGGATGCTGCTTTAGCGAGGTCTGATGCTGATGTCCAGGTTTGTTGTGTATTGGTCCTCTTGTGGTGGGGGAGGCTCCAGTGCAGAACCAGGTTAGCTGCTGCTTGTGCCCAGCCTGGGGTCATGTAGTAGGAGCTACGAACTGATCTACAGTTGGTAGCAGCTTGTGCTGGGTTTGAAGCCTCCTGGGAGAGGCTATACTGTGAACTGAGGCCGGCTTCTATTACTGCCAGGCTTGGGGCCACTTAGCAAGAGGTAGAGCATGCTGAGGCCAGGTGCTTCTCGTTTGGGGTTTGTGGACTTTGAGAAATTTTAAGGAAGTCCACAGTGTGGGCTGAGGCCAATCACTTGTGAGTAACGGTAATTGAGAGAGATTCAGGCCTGTGTGTGAGTTGGGTGGGGCAGGTTCTGAGGAAAATTTCAGATTGTGGGGAGTTTGATGGACACTCAGATTTGGAGCCAGGCTGTACCTGCAGTCTGGCTTGGGGAAGGCTCAGCAAAGAAGCAATGATGTCAGCCTTCCAGCTGTGTGGGTGAGGGCTTAACAATGAAACAGTGTCCCCGTCTGCTGCCTCCGTGAGAGGAGTGCTCAAAAAGTAACAAAATTGCAGAGAGAACTAGCCTTCCAGCCCTGACTTGAAGCCAGACAATTTAATTTTTTCTGTGTCCCTGGCACTTTCGAGCTGCCGCCCAGCACTGGAGCTCAGAGCAAATGTGTCCTTCAGCAAATAAGTCCATGTGTGGGCCCCTTAAGAGGGATGCCTAGGACTCTAGCAGCACCCTCCTCCCTCACCCCCCGCCCCATCTCATCCACATTGAATCCCTGCTGATTATTGTGGCTAGATGTTTTGGGGACATCTCTTACCAGCACTGGTGCTCCCAGCTGGGGAGTCCTGTGTGGTGGTAGGATACTTCACTTTTAAGGAAGGACCTCCTATGCTGAGATCTCTCCTGATTCTTAGTGACCACAGGTGGGTGTGGTACCAGCCCATTTGGCATCTCCACCCCTCCTACCAGTCTTGTTATGGCTTCTTTTGCATATCTATAGTTGTGAGTTTTGTTCAGTTAGTTAGTCCTCAGGTGGTTCTAAGGGTGGATGTTCTATAATTTAGTTGTAATTTTGATTGGTTGTGGCAGGAGGCTTGCACAGCATTTTCTGACTCTGCCATCTTGACTAAAACCAGTTATTTTTGTATCATAGTTTTAAAAAATATCTACCCAGAGTTTTTGTATCACATTCTCAAATTTTAAATTTAAGATATTTTGTTATTATAGTTATTTTAATATTCATTTTAAAGCCCTTATATCACTGTAGTAGGTTTTCTCTAAGCTATAAGCTACTGGAGGTTAGGAAACATAAGTGTGCTTTTACTGGAGCCCCTAGAATAAGGTCTTGCATGTAAGAAGCGTTTCAATATTTTTTGAATGCAAATAAATGAACAAGGACAAATAGCATTCTGCGTAGTGAAATGTTACAAGTAATATATTAGGCATAATATATAAAAATTAAATGTATTTGAATTCCTAGAAATATGGCTTAAATTTAGGGTGTATAAGTTCAATTGAGTTATGTTGAGGAAATATGTCATAAATAAGGAGGAAATAAATAAGAAATAAGTGATAAAGTAAGAAAGTAAGTTATAGGATATTTTTCAATAACCTTCAATTATGAGCTTAGGATTTTAGATTCTAATTTTCAACCTTTTCTTAGCCTCATCCCATATTCCATGATATATACCTTTTCAAGCCATGTATAACTCCTTAGTGTTTTGATTACCTATTCTGTCTCTGTGTGGAAAGCAGATGTGTTAAGAACATTTTTTTTTCAATTTTTCTCTTTCTTTAATAATCATTTACAGCTTTCAGGTTGCCATAAATGACCATGTTCAAGTAATTGAATTACTTATTTTATAGTGACAAAATTAAACATTTTATTACAGTAATATTTATAAACAAATAATTATAGAGGAATTCAAATCACTATTACTAGGGATATGTTATAAACAAAAGCTTCTGTTTTATGTATTTTTTATATATTTATATATTTGAATAAACTATATATTTAACATGTAATATATTGTATTGAATTTTACATATTTATACAAGATATATATTTTTATATTTATAATATAAAATATATATAACAGGGCCTTTTGTTATTATACTGATTTATTAATGATAGTTTACAAATATATTTTTATATATACTGAAATTATATATTCATTTATTATATATTCATTTCTCCACATTCTTATTGTACTTATGCTTTTCTTTTTTTCCTTGTCTCAAGCGTGTACTTGATTGGTCATGTGCCTTTTTTTTTTTTTTTCTGCTTTACCCCTAGCCTAATTTTTTCTTTGCAGAAAACATTTCTTCCTCGTCTGTTTTTTTATTCTATCTTTCTCTGTCTCCATTGTCAACATATTTGGCCATGGTTTTCTATTTAGTATGTATGTGGCTTTCATTCATGAATTATACCCCATGGGTTTATTTTTTTTTATCTTTCTCTCTTTCTTGGCAGGAGTTAAATTTAGACAATCATTTGTTTTTAGCTTTTGACAAACAGAATGTTTGCAATTCCAACTTATCTGCAGAAGATACTACTAAAAACAAAACTCATATTTTCCCTCACTCGACCTAATTCACATAAATATAAATCATGCAAACATATTTCAAAATATAACACATAATTAATTGAAATGTCTTAATGTTAATTTTTGTTCCATAGTACTCTAAACTGCCTAGGTGTAAGTTTTATAATGTAATGAGTATTATAGTATTTTGATAATAATCATTTAGGGGTCAGGAAAGTAACAAACATTGTGAGGCTTACTATGTCCTCTTTCATAATCCTCACCCCATGAGAAAATGTAGGTTTGTATATGGTAGAACTGGGATACTAATTGACATGTGAATAATTCCAAAGCCTGTGTTCTTTGTGTGAGATCACATAGTAATGGTGAATATTATCATTCTTGTTATCAACTTTGATACTTAAAGCTATGAATTTTTTCTAGAATGTCATGAAACCAAGCTTAGCAAAGCTGATGACTGCTGTTCCACAATCCCAGAAAAACAGTAAGTTACCTGAAGACTGTTCGTTCTTATGTCATTTACTGATATGAAGTTACAGGTATTTTCATGGATTTTTTACTTTGTTTTTACTGTAGCAGAAGCAAAATATGCCACTGTGAGACCAGAAAATAGGACCTTATATGAGGATAATAAATCTCATAGTGACAAAGAAGATGAGGTTGAAATGCTTCCCCAGCCATCAACTACAGTCCAGGACTGTTCTCATCAAGATTTCTTATCACCAGGTCCTCTTCTAAAACCTTCTCTCATGTCTTTAGCAGTCGTTGGTCTTACAAAGGTAAGTAATTTTCTTTTGTTTAATTTTAAATGTTTTCCCCCATGCTTTTTCACATACCATTCCCTTGATACTTATAGGAATGAAAAGGATTCCAGAAAGAAATGGAAGTTCTCAAGATAATAATAGAAAACAAGTATAATAACAAGAGAGTTATATGTACAGGATTTTATAAAGTTTCATAGGAGTAAACAATTCTTAGGTCTGCCATTATGGAAGGAGAGAGTTAGAAACCAACTAGAAAGAACAGATAGATGAATGTGAAGATGAAGAAAGTAGGGAAGGGGAAAAATACATTTAAAAATGGCAAGATGAAAATCAAGATTTAACGAGAGTCAAGATGAGATTGTTATGAAGACACAACAGAAATTGAGGGGTTAAATGAGAAAAGGAATTCTATATTATAAAATATAGAACTGATTTTAAATGCAAATTAAGAAAACCAGATAATGAAAAAATGCTCAGACTTCTCTCAGTTACTTATAGCTGATGTTTATGAAGAATTGAAGGAAATTTAATTCTCATTTTCTTTTTTGGGTTATTAAAGTTTTCATTTGAACATTTTAAAAAATCATCATTTTTAAACTTAATTCAATGACATATTTATTCTAGTAAAACTTATATTCGTAGATAATGCAAAGTGAAATCTGTTTTAGACCTTATCAGATTTATTATAAATTATGAATTTATTTCTTATAAATTATGAATTTTTGTTATGGTTTTTAATTTATCTTACTGTTTGGTATATACTTAACTTGATTAATTAACTTCTCTTACTATTTGGTGCAATCTTACTGGATGTTTTAGATTTTTTTGAGAATAAGGACAGAGGAAACAAATAAGAATTTTATTTAGTTTTATTCATTAACCAAAATTATAATTTCTCATTATGTAAATCAGGTTCTTGATCTGTATTTATTAAATGAGAAAATAATTTTAAGCAGCAGTACTCTCAAAGAAATAAAATTTTTTTATAGATATTCTTTAAAAATTTTTTTATTATATGATTCTTTTTATATGAAATATGAAGAATAAATTAACCCATAGAGATGGAAAGCAGATTAGTGGTTGCCTGGGGCTGGCGGTGGAGGGAATGAGGTCTGACCGTTTAATAAAAATGTGATTTTCTTTTGGAGCAATGAAAATATTTGGAATTAGAGGTGATGGTTGTAAAACATTGTGAATGTACTAAATGCTACTGAATTGTTCACTTTAAAATAGTTAAATTTTTTTTAATCCTTCGACTGTGAAAAAGCATTCCACTCAATAATAAAATAGCTCAAGTGTTAAAAAAAAATAGTCAATTTTATGTGTTGTGAACTTTTCCTCGCTAAAAAATACTATCATAACAATAATCAATCAATGAAATTAAGATCATGTTACACGTTTGAAAACAACCCAATGAGCTCATTTAAAACATGTCTTCTGTTCTCGCTTTCTTTATTTAACAATATCTGTTAGATATTGTTCTCTAAGGGGCTGCTTTGTTCTTTGCTATGGCTGCAGACATTTCCATCGTGGCCAGAAGTCACATGAGTCATTTATTTGGTCCCCTACAAGTGGACAGCCAGTTTTTTTGCCGTTATAAACTGTGATGTAGTGAACATCTCTGAGCTCTAGTCTGCGGCCTCCCTGAGGACAAGATGAGACTGAGCAGGGTTGTGAGGGTGCACGGACTTCGACATGCCCCCTCTCTGGGTTCTCTGCGTGCCTGGCACAGTGCTTCACTTTAGGGCTTGTTCAAGGAGAGGGGACAAAAGGAAGAAACGAACCAGAGGAAGACGTGAAATGGGTGCTCGGGAGAGAGTAAAGGCTAAGCAGGAGGTGGTCCCAGAATGGGCCTGGGAGACAGGCCTCCTGACCCTGAATCCACTCTCTACCATTTCCTATCTATGAGACTATGGTCTCCAGCCTCTCAGAGCTAGAGATACTGATTGATCTTTTCCTAATAATATCTGCAATTAATGAACACATATGCCCACATCAAATGAATGAAAACACAATTTATTATTTTTTCTAATATAAAATACTTGTTATTATAACATCATAAGTAAATATTACCAATAGAGTATACAACATTATCTCCGAAAGATGATTTTTACCTTTTAAAATATCTCTAGCAATGGGTGCATTTCATATTATTCTTAAGAAACTTTATTAACTTTGGTATTCATAGTTGTTAAACCTACATGAAAATTCTTTCATATCTAAAACTCAGACATCTAGGAGACTTGATTTTTTTAGTCCTTTTCTTCATTCAGCAGTTCTGCTTGATAAACATAGATGTATTTGAAGACTTTTAAATCTTCGACTTGGATAATCCTAGTTTTATTCATTTTTTTAAACTAGATTTTTCCTGCAATCTTCAACTACCAAGGCTATGTAGAGTAGGTGGGAAATTAGAGCTATTAGTGTGCTGTTCACAGGGAGTCAGACAACCATGTGTGTTTTAAAATAGGGATTTATATTTCTTTCACATGGCATAATAGTAATTAAAAATGCCTCATAATTCTATAATTGCATAAACATTTCTCTTCTACAATTTGAAACTTGTCTTTTAAGATTAATTTTGAAAAATGAGTCTTCTTATAACATTATAACTTGGTGTTTGACAATTAAATTTTTTCATTCGACTTAAAATATAATTTTAATTAAACTATAATAGCCCAGGAATAAATATTTGCATATATCCATAAAAGAGTATTTTGTATTGTTAAAACTGATTTCGAAATATATTATTGAAAAATTGAATTCCATTTTTCCCCCATCCTTGTTTTTATTTTTACAATTTCACAAGTTCTGTGTGAATTTGCATTATTTAATTACATTAGTATGTATTTCAAGCATCTACTTAACATCCTACGCTTTTCCTGAGTAAAGTCATCTATTCCTACTCCAAATGTATTTATCCAAATCTTTCTTGTAAGTTCCCTGGGCGCCTCCAATTTGATATGTCCCAAACCAAAGACATTGCTCCTGACCCTTTCCTTTTTGCTGACTCTATAATCTACTCTGTCACTTGTTTCCTCTATCCTGGTAAATTCCACCACTGAAATACTGAACCTGGAAAAATCCTGGGTTCAAACCTTCCTTGAAATCACCACATCCAGTCACTCAACAAGTTTAATATTTGTTGCCCACTTACCATTTTTTTTATACCGTATTATCATAATTCACTTCCTCACCTTTAATTTTGAAATACTCTTTTTAGTTTTGCTCTTATGTTCATGTTTACATTGCTGCCAGAGAGATTGTTCTAAATTATATTTGTGATGATGTAATTCCTCTGCTTATTTAGTGGCTCCCCATTATGTGAATGTAAAAGTCATATGCTAGCATGACACTTACCTTTTTTTCTTTGGTTTGGTTTTCCATTTTTCTCTCTCCATCCCATTCACAGTGTTCCAGTTTTACCACATTACTTTGGTGCCCTCACTTACTATGCTGTTTCATACCTCATGTTTTTGCTCACGCTGCCCTTTGTAGCATGCCCTTAATGCCCCCACTCTGCACTTAGTATCTCTCAAAATACAGCCCTATATTTGCAGCATTTACTGATCTCCCCTGGTATAACTGACTTGTCCCTTTGTGCCCTTACTGTACGTTATTCATTTCAGTTGTAAAAGCGAATGATCTTTTTCTGTTCTTATGGTTTTTGTGCATCTCTACCCCTACTAGAATATAGGATAAAACTTTTATTTTTATTTTCAGCTTTTCTCGGGCTAGTGCCTGTGATTTGATAGATATAGCAAATGTTTGTTGTTTTCCTGACTGATTGAGTGAGCATATGAAAGAATGTGATGTTTTCTGAAGTTGGGTTTTTGAGGTGTATGTTTTTGTTATTTTTATAGAAAGAAGCAATGAAAGCAGCAATTGCAAAAAAGGAAAATGGTATTGATATTATTGAAGGTGCTCCACAAGAGCAAACAAATAATGACAATTGTAATGCTGATGGAGCACACAAAAATAATACAAGTGGTAAGTTAGTGACTATCAATTTTTTGTAGTGCTTAAATGATAGTATGGACAAATGTAAAGTGTGTAGATTCAACTATGATATCCATTTCTTTGAAATATTATTTTTCGCTGTCTTTCCTCAAAAGTATCCCCAAACTATCAACTTTTCCTTCTTGTAAATACTTCAATCCTCTAAAATTCATTTCTGCTATTATTTTTATTTTATCAAAATATTCATGAATGGAGATAAACTTGCATATGTATTTAAAATTCATAGTAATAAATGTTCACATTAATATATCTGTAACTACATTTTATAGATAAAATGTCAGCATTAGGATTAGGAGAAGAGGAAAATGTAGAATCACCTTGGGATTCTGAGGTACTGTTCTTTATTATTATTATCATTATTATTATTATTAATTTAAAATATGAGCAGTGAGTGTTGTTAAAACATAAAATATATGCTTTGACTTTATTTTCTCATCTCCATATTTGCCCATACCTTATTTTCTTATGTTTTTAACCCATCATTAATAAAATAACTATGTGCTAAATATAATAATACTGCATATTACAATTCTGTTAATTTGCAAGATTTGCTTAATAAAATCACTGTAGTATAGTATAAAAAAATTAAGGCTTCAAAGCCATAAGGAATAAGTTTGGGTTCTAAAATTAAGTTTATCTAAAAACTAAAGAATTATTCCAGGTTGATCTGTGGCCAAATGTATGATTCCATGGTGTATATGGATGTGTAAAACTCCCAATGAGATTCAGAGAGAAACAGTTCAGATTCTAGTTTTTTATAACTTGGAACTTGAAAAGATTATGTCTGGGACTTGAAAGTATCATTATATTTGGACTGTCAAGTAGATCTGCAAGGTACATTTCCAGAGAAGAAAAAGCATGGCGAATAGTAATAAATTTGTGGAATAATACTAACAACAATTTGGCTAAGTAGAGTTTTGATACGTAACAGTGGTTTTGGACAGTTAAAATAGCATGCATTGAGTACCTTTATGGAAACCATATTTGTGGTGACTAATGTAAGTATAGAGTAATGATGAGCTAATCTAAGGTGATAGCTATAGAAAGAGGTTAGAGAACCTGATCGCTTAGATATAGGCATCTGCCACCTAATGGTACAAACACTGTATTTGAAATCCAAGAACATGCTAGCATCCTGGATCACTCACTAGCTATGGGATCTTGGGAAAACTTGTTTTAAACCTGTTTGAATGTCAGCAACCTCATTCATATTAAAAGCACTAATACATACCTTGCAGATGTGTGTAGTGAACAAATGTAACAAGGTAAAAACACTTTGTAAATGGTAATGGGTGCTGTGGAAATAGAAGACACAGTGATCACAGTGTATTTATTGACTTACTAAGTATTGAGAACATTTTTTGTAAACCAGAAGGACAATAAAATGGCAGTAGTGTCAATAGAAGAATGGGAAATTTAGGAAACACATATGGATTCTGAATTTGGGGGATGACAAGTTTCAAGAGACAGTTACTCGAGATAACCTGTAAGTATGTAGTGCTTTAGTACTTGAGGCCTTCTTGATGAGATCTTCAATGTTTTGACCTGAAGTAAATTTCTGTTAATACCAATTATGTGCCGGACAGATAGACACCGAATCAAGAAGTTGAGGGCTTAGGCTGTAGTGGTAGGAGCAGAAAAATAAGTAAACAACAATCCATTATAAGTCACTATAGGTGCTTCATGTAAAGAGAATGGAGAATGTTAGGTTAGAGAATATTGGGGGAGTTTATAGTTGGAATGGGACTGGATGTGGAATTTAGGTGGTCAGAAAAGATCTTTCTGAGTGTGACAAAAGCTGCCAAGTGAAGCATGAGAAGGAGTCAGGCATGTGAAAGTCTAGGAGGAGGACATGCTGAACAGAAAAGAATGATGGATCATATCTGTTCGTCATTTTGCCCTGGTATCTTGGAATGACCAGGAAGCAAGAAGTGGGGTAACCACCACCATACCATTTTGATTATTGTTATTGTGTGTAGAAAAGAAACAAAACGTGCATAATAAGTGCCTGTCACTTTTTAGATAGTTAATAAATAAGTGTTGTTATTCTTATTAAAGCTTACTATACTTTTTTTGAAGAGTTGTGTAACTGTAAAATTTTTTGCTATTATTTAAACATAATTTCAAGAAAAGTGTTTCTTACTGCTTTGTCATTTTATTTAACCACTTTTTAATCAAAAATTTTATCAAATAATAGTTTTTACGAGCCCTTGTTTATTTAAATGACACTTGTTAAATAATTTGTTTAAATATGTATGTTTCAAACTGCCCACTTAGTGGGAATGCAAAGAAGAGTTAGGTGTTTTGAAGTTACTTCCTGGTGACATGTGTATATAAATCAGTATTTTGTTTGTGATAATAGTTACTCTGGGCTTCCATGCTCAGTTTACAGTCATAAAAGGTAAGCTTGATCCAGAGAGCATATTTGAAGTATTCTATTTAAATGTTTTGGTTTTCAGTACATAGTTTCCTTATTTTTAAGTCCAATTGCTTTTAAAGTGCTAAATTTAGATATCTTCTTAGAGATTAGGAAATCTTCATGGAATTCATATTGATATAAATTTTAACAGAGTTTTTCTGCAAGTTTTTCACAGAAGTATGTTGATCATTTATCTGGAACTGCAGATCAAAGAGGAAAAAATATACTAAATGGACAAATAGAAGGTAATTATTGTATTTTGCAAAAAAAAGTCATTTGACATGAATCCTGATATAGTCTAATAGCCAAAGAAAATGACCTATTAAATGCATAGTATGGAAAAGAGAAGTGAAAATGAGATCAGTTGTATAGCTTATCGGGTATCAGCAACAGATTAAATTGAGAGTGCCATGACAGGAGCTATGTTTATTCTATTTCAAGATACTCAAAGACCTAAGGAAAGTCAAGAAATAAGAACGGGATAAGAATAAAAGAAGAAATAAAGAACAAGAAAGGCAGAAATTATAGGACATAAATGAAGGAAAAAGAAGCAGGTACATATAGTGGAAGATGATAAAATAATTCTTTAGAAAAGGGCAAAGTATTGTAAATGTGGGAAGAATATAAAGTGAGTTTCCAGCACCAAAACATGTTAGAGAAGCACAGCAAAAGGTCCCCACTCTTGTTCTTTTCTTCACTGTTGAGAAGGCATTAGGGATTGAGGTACCTGATCATGTAGAGCTCTATTTTATCTACTATGGATGCACATAAGCAGATGTGGTCAGTTATAAATGTATATACTTTAGTGTCATGTAAAATGTGGCAACATCATAGAATAATATTATATATTCTAAAATTAAAGAAGTGGAAAACAGGAGAGAGCAAGGTCAGTTATGGGGAGGTCAGGGAAGTGATAACTTGCTAAAAAGGCCATTAGAAAGTTTATGACTTCTAAAGCAGTTTGAAAAAGGCCATTAGAAAGTTTATGACTTCTAAAGCAGTTTCAGCTTGGAAATGATAGCAACAGGTCTGGCCTGCATTTCTCACAAGTTCTCAGGTGACGCCAGTGTTGCTGGTCTCAGACCGTGCTCTGAGTAAAAGCTGTCAGTTTTCTTCCAAGAAATCTGCATGAAAATCCATTGGAGAGGTTAACCACGAAAAAATCAAGGAAAAGCATTATTTCGTTTTTATTTATTGTGTGTGTTTATAGCCCCCCCAAAAGCAAGAAAATTAAAAAATAGAAATTATAGATGGATAAACAGAGAGCAAAGAAATAGTGGTGGGGACAATCCACAGAAAGGATGGAAAAGGGAAGTATCAAAAAATTACTTTTGAAGAGGATGGGGGATGATGAAGAGGAGGGAGGAAAGAAAGGTGTTAGCTAGGTAATTTTGAAGTCGATGAGGAAATTTGAGAGACCTCACTTTAAATGGCTTTAGGATATTCGCACTGAAGCAGGAGATGAGATTATTGCTGCTCCAGAGAATACTGGAAGCAGGAGGGAGTGTGAGAATTGGAGTAAACTGTAGCCAATCATTTATATTCCTCATGATTGTCAGGCATTAAAGATAATATGTTACCTTGATATTTATTATTCAAAGGAGATTAATTGAAGATAGAAGCATTAGTGGGTTTTTTTTTTGATAGCTAACTGTTTGATAAGATAGCTGGTTCATAAAAATCCTTTAAAGACTAGCATGATATAGCAAGCCCAACTAATTTTGGAAACAAAAAAATTGTTCATTCTGTAATTGCTTAAATTGTTTTTTTTAGAAAATATTATACTGATTTTGAACATAAAAATTTTAATATCTAATATTTCTGTAGCAACTAAATTAATTTTTTATTAACCATATTTCAATATTGAAAGCTCATTATACATTATTCCTCAGATATGTTTTATATACCTTCTTGCATGAGTGGATCAAGAAACTTTAAGATGGCCAAACTACAGGATACAAGAAATGTAGGCATACCAGTAGCCCACATTGGTATGGAAAAAATGAATATTTCTCTTAACTATTATTCTACAAGTGAATATCCAAGCTGGTCAATTCATAACCCTGTCTCAAGGTGACACATGACTTATGCATTCACCTGAACTCTCATCACAATTGTGTGTTTGCTAAATTATAGGACAAATTGAAGATCATGATGAATACTTGTAGCATAATGGTATAAATGATTCTGATGTATTACATTAAAGATAGGCTGTTGCATTCTATCATCAGGTTTCACAATGATTCTTTCAGGGTCATGATTTGCTCCTCTGATGAAAGATCACTTTTCTCTCCATTAATCAGCATGTTGACATTGGTCTATACACACTTTTCTGGTTTGGTTATAATCATTTGAAACATCTTATTTTGAAAGCTCAACTGCATGTTTTGTTAAACCTATATTTTTATTTTTTCTTCAGTATTTATAGTGGATTCATATTTTTGACTTGTTGCTGTCCTAACACTTCTCCTCCAAAAAAAGTTAAAAAAATAAAATAAAAATACCAAATGTAGTCATTTCCAAAGCCAAGCATGAAGATTCAACTCCATACTAACTCTGTGGAAATGTTTGGTTGGCTTCCATATTTATATATAATTGAATGAATGTTTCTTTGCTTTTTAGATTCTCTTGAAAAATATCCTCATTTGAAGGTAATAACTTTTATATTTTATCTTGAATTATTAAGTACAGATTGGATGAAATGTACATTATTTATTAATCATCTTCTTTCAAAACCCACTCAGCCTACCATTGAAGTGGAAGAGCCTGTTCCTAAGAAAGCAATAGAAATAAAGGAAATACAAACATCCAGATCAGGTAAATTTTGTAAAACAAATATAACTGCAAAGGAGTCCACAAGTCCAAAGAATTATTTGACATGCTCATAGTATTTTTATTCATAATTTATTACTTTTTTTTTTTTTGCAAATTTAATTGAAGTATTTGACTACAGTGTAGAGATCATTTTTGGTATCAATGTATGAGAAAAAAGATATATACAAAATAAGAAAATGAAAGTTTAAAAACATAGCCTTTAATTCTGATGTTTCTACTTTTGTTTTGATTCCCAGTTTGGAATCACAATACTTATTAGGAATTCCCAGAGGTTAATTATTAGACTCTGCTTTTCCAACGTTTCAAAATGCTTATTTGAAATTCCAGCCTTTACGTAGAGTAAAGCTTCAGTTGCTAACATGTCAACTATATTTTAACTGTATATCATCTTACTGTTGTTAACACCGATGAGCTTGAGCCAACCAGATGTTCTGATTGGCAGATTGTGTGTGTGGTGGCGGGGGAGGATTTCCTGGTGTCTTTGATTATTAAAAATGGGGAAGTAATTAATCATAATATTTGGTAGACACAATCTTTTAAAACAGTAATTCTGAAAATTTTTGGCCTTAGAATACTTTCATTCTATTGAAAATTATTGAGAATTCCAAAGAATTTTGTTGAAGTAGGTAGTATCTATTGATATGTACAATATTAGAAATTGAAACTGAAATTTAAAATACAAGCACACTAAATCATACAGTCCATTAGCCTTGAGGGCTGTGACCCATTCATCATTAGAGCTGTGCTTAATCATGTCATAGCTGTGGAAAACTACTGTACACTTATAAGAGAATGAAAGTGAAAATGGCAAATGACATTTAATATTCCTGTGAAAATAGATTTGACCTGTTGGACCTCCTAACAAATGGATTTGGGGACTCCTGGGATTCTGTAGAAAACAACCATTTTAAACCCAAAATGAGGTTCATGGGTATAAAATAATAAGGGGACCTCGTGATGAAAAAGTCTTTAAAGTTTCACTTCTACATTCATTGCTTTTTTTGTTGTTCATTAGTCTTAGCAAGTTTAAATCTGAGAATTTTGTTAAAAACGGATAAATTGTTATATATCCATTTTCTGTCTTAGAGCACTCTGTACTCTGGATCAGGTGCAGACCTAGTTGGTCTTATTTTTGCATAGAAACAGGTCACCCAAGGCCGTCATTTCTCATATAAATTTCTGTTTATCTAAAGTTTAAAAAAATGATTCTGAAGATGTTAGGGTAAATAGAAAAGACTATGTCATTGTAATTTGAAGTAGTACCATTTATTAAAATGTTTTTTAAACATGTTTGTCATGCATATTTAAACTTAAAATAAGTGGATAGACATAAATTTTGATAATAACAAAAAATTCATGCCCTGAAGAATCTTAACTATTAATAAGCAAAGCTTTTATGGAAAGCAGACTATGCAATAGGCATTATTGAGTTTCAGTATTTAATTAAACCTATCTATGTGAATGGCAAGTATAGGACACACAAAATAAAATGGACTATGAAGGAGTAGTGTGTATGGGGAAAGAAGGACGTGGGACTGCTTCTCTGAAGAAAGAATTTTTACATGTTAGTCATATTTGTATTATTTACATTATAATCAATGAAAACTTTATTTTTAGATTCTTCTGATTTCCGGGATCTCCCAGTTTCGCCCTCAATCATGAGACTTGTCAAAGATCAGATTTGAAAGTTGATGATAAATGTCCATTTGTATCACAATCGATGTCCCAAAATCAGTCAGCATCCACATGACCTTAATAGATAAAGAAAATACTAATATTGAGCTTTGTTTCTATTAGGAAATTGTAGCCTCCGTGACCTGGGTGAATCACAGCTGTCAGAAAATGGAGAGAGCAAAGAAGGTAATAAAGACACAAAAAGAGTTCAACCCTAGACCACCTCTGGGCGGCTTCACCATGCTTCTGAGTTTTCAGAAATCATTTTGTGGCAAAATCTACTTTATGTTTCCTCTGTTTATGCAACTTACAGCATAACAGAATATTTTAGCAAGACATTTGCACTCACTGCTCCTGTAACCAAAGTAATACGTATGTAAATAAGACAGAATTAGGAGAAAGAGCAATTTTGTTTAGACTGGTATTTAGCATATACTTGGGAGTGGGTAGCAGGGTTATATTTAGAACTATGGGACTAGATGGAAAAACTAGGTAGAGATCTAAATATTACCAACTGAAACAAAACATGGTTTCTTAGCTTTATTTTTATAGCTTTGAATTCAAAAGTATTAGTTACCACTACATCACTGTAACTGAAAAAACACCTTTTGAAACCAAATATTTCTTGCATTTTCTTTAGTTTATACATTTTAGAATTGGCCTTTCCAATAGTACTGGGAATCATTGAGAATTTGGTATATAGTACTTCTTAGCTGTGTCTTCATAGTTTGTCACATTAAAAAAAATTTTTTTAGTAGTTGACAAGATATATTGGTTTTAAGGAGTGTTATATCATTTAAAAACAACATCTGGAAAATGAATTTTAATTCAACCAGGATACTCATTCTATTGACTACTTCTAATATGTGTTTCACGTTATGTACCATTAATTTGTGCCTTTTATCAGTCATATGATCAGGTCTGTAGTAGTAAAACATGCAGTATTTTTTTGCTCCTGTAGTTTTATCTTCTTCCCCTTCCTTAACTTTAGAATTAACATTGTATTTACAAAAGACTTTCAATTATCTCCTAGAGTAGTGTCTGCAAACTATAAATATAAAATTATTTATGTATGTATACAAGTGTCTTATTTCTTCAGGTGCTTGGTAAACACATACCCAATCTCCCTCAACATAGAAACAGAAAAACTACAAAAGAGTTGAAGCAACTTAAAGAGTTCACATAGTTCATTTCACTTCTTAGTTGTTAACTCTTATAAAGCAATGAGCAGAGTCTAGTTCTCCAGGGACCCAGGATTCATGCATATATTCATTGAATAAAGATTATTCTCTAGTGGACTCTGATTATTTTATATCTAAATATTTGTGGAAACATTTGCTCAGTTCAGGCCTGCATCATCTTTATTTTACATTATTGCCTGCTAAATTGTCCCCTATTTATTCATATGCCCCTCAAATTCATCACTACCACAGCGTTTAGACTGATCGATATCCAAAGCAAATATGACCATGAGCTGCTCGTTAAACTATATTACTGTCCAGGCATTTTAAAATTACATATAAGGCTAGTATAATCTCACTTCTGCCTAACTCTCAGTCTTCGGCCATTTCTACTGTCCACCCTTTTCTCTTGTATTACTGAAGCTCTGGTGATGCTCTCCTCACCATTTCTGTATGTTAGACAAACTGTTCTATTGTATGCTTCTCTCCCTGTCTTGATATAGCCTTGCATGGTCTTCTCCTTTCCTGCCTTCTACCCCTTTGATTCTGGCTAAACTCACTGTGAGTCTTAGCTCAGGTATTAACTCTTAAAAAGCCATTCCTGACACCTCTTATCTATGTTCTTTAAACCCCCAAGCTGAGTCCTAAAAAAAATGAAAAGAAATTTGTCAGAACAGTAGAGCCAAACATTTCAGATATATGGAAGGGTGTATTCTGATAAGGCATTAAAAATAACAGTAATTTTGATAACTGTTGATAATGTTGCAGTTGAACCTAAGGCATTGTTAAAAAGGTACTATCATAAAGTAGAGAATATAGTGTGACTTTCTATGTTGTACTGTATTTCTAAATGTTGTTTTGTTTCTGATTGCTTTTTCATTGATGTTTGGTGAATGAATTTGTGAAAGAATTTTTGAGATGTTTGTATGACTTGAACTTTGTAACATCAACTATTTCCTGAGGTTTGTTGGTTTCAGATAATTAAAAGTATTTCTTAAGTAAATATTCAGCAAAAGATTGATTAATTTAAACTCTCAACTGATAATATGTTAATTTCTATTCTTATAAGGATTATAGTTTTTATCTAATCATTCTAAGTTGTTCTTTTTAACTAATATATAGATATGTCAGCAGAACTAGACTTAGAAATAACAACAGAGGAAGAGCAAGAAAGGCTTGATGGAAGTGAAAATAACCACCATTGGGTATGTAAAAATTTAAATTTGAATTGCTGGCATAATATCTTTTTCTGTTTTAATAATGTAACATAGTCCAATTGAAATTACCTTTCTCAAGTTGAGGTAAATTAGGTATATTCCCTCTATACTCAAGTGAGAGTTTTTATCATAGATAGATGTTGAATTTTGTCCAATGCTTTTTCTGCATCTATCAAGATAATGTTGTGATTCTTATCCTTGGTTTTATTGATGAGATGAATGACATTAACTGACATTAACCACTTTGGCATCCCTGGTATAAATCCCACTTGATCTTGGTGTATAATCCTTTTAATCTACTTTTGAATTCAGTTTGCTAGTGTTTTGTTGAGAATTTTGGCATCTATGTTCATCAGGGGTATTGGCCTGTAGTTCTTTTTCTTTATATCGTCTTTGGTTTTGGTGTCAGAGTAGTGCTGGCTTCATAGAATAAGTTTGGAAGTGTTCCTTCCTCTTCAAATTTTGGAATGGTTTGAGAAATCAAAAACAAACAAAACAAAACAAAAATAGACTCATAGAAACAGGGACCAAAGGGATGGTAACCAGAAGGAACAGGCCGAGAGAATGGGTGTAAAGGGGAAGGAGAATATAGTCAATAATGTTGTGATAAGTTTGCATGGTGACAAATGATTACTAGAATTATTGGGATGATCACATTATAAGAAATAAAAACATCAAATCACTATATTGTACACCTGAAACTAATTAATATATACAATATAATATTGTATACCAACTATACTTATGTACTTAATTTAAAAGGAGAAAAAAAAGAAATTACCCTTTAAACTAGTTTTTTAAAATCAAAGGCTCATAACTGAATATTTAATTTTTATAACATTTTAACAAGTTACAAAACTTAAAATATTATTGGAGTTTATAGTAACTTATAGCTAATCTTTATCTTTGGAATTGAGGCAAAATTTTTTTCCTGAATAATGTTTGCTTCTTTCATTTTTATAGCTTTTTTATGTGATAAAGTAACATCAAATATTGAATCATATAATTAAACAGTTGAAATTATGAACAATATAAAACTGATAGCCACTGAGTTGGATTCATGTGAAAAGGGTAATAATTTTTAGAAGTTCAAAATTTGCGGTTTGACACTGCTAGTCACTAATGCCAAAGTTAAAGATTTATTCTCCTTGTGACTTCTATGTAATTGACTTCAGAATCTACATTCAGGGAGAAAATGGGGTCATAAAATCAACTCAACTGCCTATTAAGAGAATCACACTTTCCAGGATGGAAGTTTTTGTTGTTAGAGTACAAATAATAACTTTCCAATTTATTTCATTCCAGTGTAAAAAAGTCCGTAAATATTAATTTTTATAATCCACTCTCTTTACTGGATATTAAAATATATTAGAATTGGATGCAACAGATAACTATATCAATGCATAACACTATCAGTATATCATTTGAATTAAAATTTCGGTGTGCAAGTTCATGTTTTTCTCCTAATTTAGAGTAAAGCAAGTAATTTTTTACTTTTTAATAATAATTTAGTGATTTGGGAATACCTAAACGTAATTAAGAAGTTTAACAGTTGAATTTTAATTGCATTCTCATTTTTCTTTGTCTGTACTTGATTCCTTAAGAATCAAGTTATTTCACAAATGTGTACCCCAACAGATAAGACATCTGAAAATCAAACTAAACAAATTAATCTTCCACTTTTGCATCTGCAAAAAATGTCTCAAGAATCAGACATGAATAAGGATTGTGATAGAGAGGATATATCTGCATATTCAGGACATCCTTGTATGCAAAACTATGAGGAAATGTGGATCAAAAAAGGCAAATTAGAGCGGAGAAATAATTTAAAACTCATTGCAAATGAGTTAAAGCAGAAGTTTGGTGAAATCTGTGGAAAATACAAAATTACTGGTGGTCTTGAGGAAGAGCCACCACTTGACAACTCTAAAAAAGGAGCAAGCTTAAGAGAAATACCTTCTAATTTTCCAGATAATATACTTGATTGTGAGGGAAAAGATGCATTTGGAGTGTCCATCTCTGCAGAGTTCCAGGCATTTCCTGAACAAAAAGAAGTCCCTGTGGAAAATGTCTTTCCTTCTCATTCAGCCTCTGGGTCCCCAGGATATGCTTGCTGGTCATCTTCTAAGCTTTGTTTAAATGAAAATAAATTACACCATGAGAATGATAACAAATCAGACTCTGAACATGTTTTTAACGAAAATAAGGAGAGTTTTTATAATGATACAGAAAATAAAAATGTAAAGAACCCAGTAGTTACATTGGAAGTGAAAGACCGAGGGCTTGATCTGCAGATGACAAAAAATATGAACCCAAATACCACTAATTGGAAATTAGGCATTGGACATATATCTCAGTCTAGCGATCCAGAAAGTCTTCTTGGTTTGTGTCTTGCCCACGCCAAGGAAATGAAACACATGATTCAAATAAAAAGGCACGCTAGTTCTGCAATTACCAATCCTTATAAGGAAACACAACCAAATCAAGACTTGCTCCAGAAGCCATTAAATGCCAATAACTGCAGTGCTAATGACTGCAAAAGCATGGAAACTGAATTAGAAAATGTAAGTTCTTTCCCACCATATAGTGACAGAACATCAAAAGTATTTCTAAATGAAGACTTACAGCAAGATCTGCAAAGGTTTAAGAATGAGATACACATGTTAAAAGCAGAGTTCTTGGCTTTGGAAAAAGAGAAAATTCAACTTCAAAAAGAGGTAGAGGTTCACTTGCTGCTACTTTTTGTGTTTTCTCTTTACCAATTATCTGATGCATTCTGATTTTTCACTTTGAAAAGAGTGTATGTGTAAAATGGAGTTGTCTAAATGTCTAATTGTGTCTAGAAACAGATTATTTCTGCCATCTAAACAATAGAATCTTAGGTAGACATTCTTATAAATTTTGTTCCTTAATCAGCTTAAGACTCTGTCAGCCTTCCATATGAACTGGGAAACTAATTGAGCTATGTACCATGTGACCTTCTGCACCAGAAAAAGCATAAAAGAAATTGCTTAAAACATATAATAAGCTCTAGGTATTTTTTTTTTAAAGTTTATTGGCTTAAATACAAATTGCATTCTATAAATAGTAAAATGAGAAGGAAGAAATGACTGAAAGAAGGGATATAAAATATTCTCAGCTATTCTAAATTTGTGCTTTAGTGTGTAAAAATACATGCTTTACTTAAAACCTTGGAACTTAGAATTCTAACATGACCACTTTGAGATATTTTTAATAACAGACATATATACTTTCAAATATATATATTTTTATCACCACTCTCAAATGTTTTTGTTGAGTCGAACCTTTATATTATGTTGTTTGATAATGTATGGTACATTTCGATGTGCATGATTTTATGATATAGGTACATAAACCCTTTGAAAAAAATTCAGTATTTGTCTCTGAAAAACTGAGTTTTGAGGTCTATGGACTTAATGACAGACAAAAATTGAGATATTCTCCTTTAAAAGAAAATATAGATGAGTCCTCCCCACACACTGAGGCATTAAATGACTTTGCAAATGTCATACTTTTAATTTATCTGATCAATTTACTAAATTCATCTGGTAATTTATCTGATTCAGCATTATAGAATTGTATCATCTATTTTAGTGCCATTAAATGCTAGGGAGCGCATCTTTAGGAGCTTTGGGCAAATCATCTAACCTTTCTTGGTTTTATTCCCATTATCAATGAATATGGGGCTAAAGTAGATAATTATGTCTATACTCTCTAGCTATAAAATTTTATGGTTATTGAATGTGAAATTTGGGGAGTATTACTCATTTTGCAGAATTCTGCATTAACTAACAGTTCATTAGTTTGGCTCTGCTCCTGTGTTGTGGTAAACTTTGTTTTGTGTATTTTATGAATACTATCACTTTTTTGATGTCCCCAAGATCTAAAATAAAAAAAGAACTGGAAAAGGCAGTGGGGGAAAAAATAGCTTAGTGCAGAAGCAGGAAGCACAGTATCACATCCTCTAAATCTGGCTATCTACTGCAAAATCCAGGTGGTGAAGACAGAAGAGGACAAATTTTGTGCCTTTGTCTTTTTATTTCTCTGTCTCTGCTGGTCAAATATGGGGAAGGGGGTGGGAACGTTAGGTAGCAAAGAGTGAGTGTGAATAAGAGCACAAAATTAAGAAAGTCCTTTTTGAAATATTGGACAATTCTGCTTTTACTGAAACAAATAAAACAGTTTACAAAAAACTTCAATGACATGTCATGATAAAATTAAAGTAAGCTCAAGAATATTTTTATTGATGAAAGTCATGACAATTAAACTCAGGGCCAAATGATAATAAAAACAGAAAGGCCTTTATAGTGAATAAATAACAATTATTCTTAGTATCAAAATTTCATTAAAGCTTGAAGAAGAAAGGAAAAAGCACAGAAGTAGTGACATGGAAGTAACAGAAAACATATATAATGCTACCACTGAGGACAATGATGGATTAATTCAACAAAGAAAGAATGGAAACACTGATAACCAACAATTTCCTATTATGGAGGATGAAGATTCTAATAGGTAAGCCTATATCAATAGTTAACAGTAAGTGTTATTTTCTTATAAAACAAATTTTAATTTGAGCTAATATTCATGATTAACAAATTTTATATTTTTACTAGGGACATTCAGCCTTGCCTGGTAATCAGACAAATGTAAATTAACAATGAGATACCATTTTTTGAAGTCATAATGATAAATATTTTATTTAAAAAATAACAACCAGAGTTGGCAATTGGGGAGAAAAAACATTCTCATACACTGTTGGTGGATGAAACTGATAAATCTTTTTTGAAGTACCAGTATTTAGCTGTGTGTTTCAAAATTTCAAATATATCATCCCTTTATCCCAACATCTTTACTACTGGAACTAGATCCTACAGGAAAATATGACTTGTATGAACACACACACCCACACATTCTAAGGACATTTCTTACATATTATTATGTATTTAAAACATACAATAAGTCATTATATATTATATAGTTTAGCATATATGTTAAGGACATAAATATACATATATACATTAAGGATATTTATATATAAATATATTGCATATATGCAATATTAAATATATAACATATATGTTAAAGATATTTATTAGAGCCCTACATATCAAAAAGTTGGAGGTAGTCTAAATACCTATCAATAAGGAAATAAATTTGTTATGCCCATAAAATAATGGACTATGTAACCATTGGGAGAAAATGAGGTTAGGTCTACAATATACTGATCGTTTCATAATTAAAGTATATTTAAAGCATTTATTTTTATGTCATGTCCTAAGCAAATTTTGTTAGAAAAGTTTTAACTGCTGAGTTTATGAAAGAAATTATGTGCTATAGTGGCGCTCTACTTTGATACCATCAAATTTGCTAGTTATTAGATTTTCATGTTTTGTTTCTAACGAGCGTGTGCTCAAATATTAGACCCTTAAATTAATCTGAAATCTGAAGGATTTCACTGGCAATTTGTTCCATGTCCTGTATAAACATTTCGGTATGTTGAGTAAAACCTATTAAAACACATCAAGGGATCAATCCGCTACATCAGGGTTTGAGAGACCTTTTCTGTGAAAAACTGGATAGTAAATATTTTAGGCTTTGTGGACCTTCTGGTCCTTTTTCTTGCAGTCTGAAATCTGTCGTAGACAATAGGTTTTCTGCATTTCCCCCTTTATTTTTGTTAGAGTTTTTATATGACTAATTACTTAGTATATTTGAGTAGTGTACAATATTCTAGAGTTACATGATTTTTATCAGGCAAAACATCTTTCTATGATCATTGTAAGCATGAGAAAAATGATAGGTAATATAATTATATGTCTAGAAAAATGTCAAAGGGTCTTTAAGTTGTATAATTTTGTGATTTTATTATTTAGTACCTGGTCTGGCATTTTAAAAACCATGTAGTGCCACATGTATGTAATTCAAAAAACTTTTAAGTGTTACGAAAATGTTACATAATCATTATGTAAAGATTGAAAACTACAGCAAAATAAGAAGAAAATTGGAGCATCCACGATCATGCCACTTACCTACGAAGTCCTTAATAGATCTATCTATAGTTATTGGTTCTCATTTCCCCTCCATTCACTCTTGAAATCACTAGGAATTTTCAGCCCCACGTCTCCTCTAAAATTGTATTTCTCAAGGTTACCACTAGTTTTCACTCTAATAAATCTAGACGTAATTTCTTAGACCTTCTTTTACTTTACCTATCAGCAATATTTGGCTCAGTGAAAACTGTTCTCCTCCAAAATACTTTTTTCATTTGACTTTCAAGACTTTTAGTTTTCAAGGGAGTAAAACACACTTACCTCGTTTCTCCCCTGCTCGTCTAGTTATGCATCTCAGTCTGTTTTGCTTGTTTCTCCTCATTCTCCACCTTTTACACATTCAAGTTTCCCAGGATTCAATGCTTGATCTTTTTCCTCCTGATTTGTACTACCTTATATATGCTAGTGATCTCCACATTTATATCTCTAGCTCAGATGTCTCTTTTTAATTCCAGACTTATATATCAAACTGCTTTCTTGATATCCCTTTTTGGATAGCTATTGGGTGTTACAAACTTAAGATGTCCAAAATTGAACTACTTGTAATCTTTCTCATACCGCCCCCTCATGTAGTCTTTCCTGTTTGAGTTAATGACAAGTTTTCTAAATACTCTGTCACAAACTTGATGTCATCTTCGACTCATTTGTTTCTCTTTCATCTTGCATTTAATCTGTTAGCAAATCTTGTTAGGTTACCTTCAAAATATATCCAGAGCCAATCACATCTTCCAGGCTGAAGCCACTATCATCTGCTATCTCAATTAGTGTAATAGTCAACTAATTTGTTTCGTTTCCTTCCTTCCTTCCTTCCTTGCATTATGGTTAAATTTTTTATACATATTATACAAGTAAATACTAGAAGAGTATTAAAATAAAAACTTTACAGATTTTAAAGTGGTTCCTCCTGAATAAAAGGCCTGGACACTGTATAGAGGACTGGGCTTTAGAAGGCTGCTTTCATTACTCTCCTATACTCTTAGCCATGTGGCATGTCTAATGTCTTATAATGCCCTCATAAGTTTCTCAGTGGATGTCCTGAACACTTCCCCCTTGCTCCCTCCCTCCCTCCCTCCCTCCCTCCTTTCCTCCTTTCCTCCTTTCCTTCCCTCCCCTCCTCCCTGTCTTTCCATCAATTCTAAACACAGTGGACCTATTAAAAGATAAGTCAGATTATGTTCCTCAGTTCAAAACCTTCTAATTGCCTCCCATTTCACTCAGAGTACATGCCAACGTTCTTCCTAATACCTGTGAGGCCTTTTACACAATCTATTCATCTCAGATCTCTGTCTCTGTCTCTGACTTGCACTTCTGTTTTTTATCCCTTATACTCTGTTCCAACCACATGGAATTTCTCACTATTCCTTCACCGCCACAAGCATACCTCTGTGCTTGCCATTGATTCTATCTGGAATGTTTTTCCTCAGATATCTTCATGGCACTTAAGATCTTCCTTCAGTTCTTTACTTGAAAGCCACTTTCTTAGCAAGACCTTCTTGGCCAGATTGACTCATGTTTCAACCACTCATGCACCCATAACACGTCAGTATTTTATTTTTCTGCTTTTATGTTTCTCCTCTAATGTGCTATAAATTTTGCCTATCTAGTTTATTGTTATGTGTGTTTACTTCACTGTCATGACTAGGATTTTTGTCTCTCCACTGCCATATCCTCACGTGCCTAGAAAAAGGCTGAGCAAACAGTATGATTCAAATATTTACTGAGTCGAATGGAGTTTAACTTATGTGTATTGTTTTACATGTTATGCTAATTCTCATTTAAACAAGACACAGGTTTGATGTGGACTCATTTTGACAATTTTACCTGTCAATTATATGCATTTTATAAACTCTTTTTGGCTCTTTCTAATAAGCTGTATTCCCTCCATGAATGTTTTTACATATAGGGAGAAAAGCCCAATCCTGTGATTACTCACCGTTTTTTTTTTTTTACTGGTATTTATAATCATTTTAATTATGGTAAAAATGGATCAAAGGAATAGCAAACTTCATTTATATTTTATTAAGAAAAAATAATAAATTATTTTATTTAATTATTCTAGAAATTTAAAAAATTCTTGTTAAAGAATTATGAGCCCTCAATATCTGAAATAAAAAGACAAAGTTGGAATTTGTTGCTAACTAAAGTAAGAGCGTTATGCTGGTCAAGCATAGTCTTGTCTAACAGAGTAGCCTGTTCTTCCTATGTATGTTTTATGGAAGAGTGGAGTTTAAGGACTAGTGGACTTTCAGAGGCATAATGGGTTGACATCATCTGAAGCAGTGCGATTATTCAGATGAGTCTGTTGTTGGTTGCCTGGCACTTGGAGGCATGTTTATTGGAGTAAGGTTGTCCCTGGTTGGCTCTTTTTCTGAAAGAAGTGACTGACATTGATTGTTTGGAAAGTGAGTGGTCATTGATTGATTAAACACATGGAAAACGAATACTGGTAGCTTCTTGTTACCATGGCTATGTGTTAATCTTTTCCTAAGTTTGGGGAGACTTTAACCAAATGTTTTCTGTTTAAAAGTTGCCTTCGATCAACTATGTTCAAAGTGAAAACTATTTATTATTATTATTATTATTATTATTTTATGGTGACATTGGTTAACGAAATCCAGTACTTTTCAACTATAATACTTTAACAGTAAGGCTTATATATCTTTACACTGTGTGTTTACCTCCCATAGTTAAATTTCTTTCTGTCACCACATATTTGACCCCCTTTACCCTGTCTACCTACCCCCTCCGACCTCCCCCATACCTCAGGTAACCATTAGTCTATAGTCCATTTCCATGAATCTCTGTTTGTTTGTCCTGTTCATTTGTTGCTTTTAGGTTTATATCTCACATATAAGTGATATCATGTGATTTTCAGCTTTTTCTGTCTGGCTTCTT